GTGGTTCAATAGATATGTTGTGAAAGCAGGTTGTGGACACTTTACTTGTGTTGTTTCTTCACCTACTTCTGGTACACAATGGTTCAATAGATATGTTGTGAAAGCAGGTTGTGGACACTTTACTTATGTTGTTTCTCCAGATTGAGATCCTTCTTGATCATTTTTCATACTGTTGCCTGGGATACATAGACAGCTTTTACCACTGCCCTTTGTGTCTTTGGATTCTCATCTATTACAAGAGTCTGCACTTTCCATACAATGGTTGGAATATGACTTATTGTTTCTGGATGGCCCTTGTGCTCCAGCTTAATCCAGATTCCTTTGTTCTCCAATAGCATTAAGTACAAATATTCCCATCTCAGAAATTTCCCAATCTGAACACATCTTTATGTTCTGAGCATACAAATATCTTGCACTGGAAAATCTTGTTACACACCTCCCACAAAGCAATTAATTTTTGGATACATCACGCTACTTAACAATGTCAACATTAAGTTCACATATGTGCCATTCTACAAACACTTTATATCAACTGTGGTTGTCATGTGACTTGGTGACTTCATACTTGTTTTAATATAATACACTTGACCCTCTGACGTTTTACCTTTAACTTTTAAAATAAAAATTTTAAGAAATGGATTACTTTAACTTATATTATCATAATTACCTTCCAGAGAGTGAAATGTTATAGTACCCAAAAAGAGTTGACCAATGTTGAGGAGGAAGTGATCGCCACAGTTCTGGATTTTGATGGTAAAGTTTGAAATCTGCACCACTACCTTGAATTCCATTAGTAATGAGATGTTCTGAGGAGTCCAGCTGTTTGTTTTCCACAGGTAACACTGTTTGGTTGACCATGCCCAGTGTTAAAAGTATAGGACGAACAACTAAAACATAAAAAAAAAGAGTTCATTTCTGACCAAATGATGGAGAAGAAGGTTTAGTAATTATCAACCATTATCAAAACTTCAGTAACTTGTTTTAGGTTTATTTACAGATCTTTACATCAAAACTTCAGTAACTTGTTTTAGGTTTATTTACAGCTCTTTACATCAAAACTTCAGTAACTTGTTTTAGGTTTATTTACAGCTCTTTACATCAAAACTTCAGTAACTTGTTTTAGGTTTATTTACAGCTTTTTACATCAAAACTTCAGTAACTTGTTTTAGGTTTATTTACAGATCTTTACATCAAAACTTCAGTAACTTGTTTTAGGTTTATTTACAGCTTTTTACATCAAAACTTCAGTAACTTGTTTTAGGTTTATTTACAACTCTTTACATCAAAACTTCAGTAACTTGTTTTAGGTTTATTTACAGCTGTTTACAAGTTATTGAGAAATAATTTGTTCCACTGAAAACACTTTCAGTTGGTAATGCAAAGTTTATCCACATACCAATTAAAAAATTGTAGATCAATAACAACATCAATAACACTTCTAGTGTACTGGATCAGCAATAACAACATCAATAACACTTCTAGTGTACTGGATTATCAATAACAACATCTACCTTTGTTTACACTTCTAGTGTACTGGATCAGCAATAATAGTACTTACCTTTGTTTACACTTCTAGTGTACTGGATCAGCAATAATAGTACTTACCTTTGTTTACACTTCTAGTGTACTGGATCAGCAATAATAGCACTTACTTTTGTTTACACTTCTAGTGTACTGGATCAGCAATAATAACACTTACCTTTGTTTACACTTCTAATGTTATGGATCAGCAATAATAATACTTACCTTTGTTTACACTTCTAATGTTATGGATCAGCAATAATAGTACTTACCTTTGTTTACACTTCTAATGTTATGGATCAGCAATAATAGTACCTACCTTTGTTTACACTTCTAATGTTATGGATCAGCAATAATAGTATTTACCTTTGTTTACACTTCTAATGTTATGGATCAGCAATAATAGTACTTACCTTTGTTTACATTTCTAATGTTATGGATCAGCAATAATTATTCATTGTCTTTGAATACTTGAAACAGTGGAAAACATAAAAGTAGTTACGGTGATAATTTTTTTTAAGTTATTTGTAGAAGATTATGAGAAAAGAAACGTTAAATATAGATGGATTACCACTAAAAAACAACCTGGACTGTGTACATAATACACATTTCTGTAACAAAAAAGTAGAACTTACCTTGTTCAGTAATGACTGGTGTTAAACTCGTAGTGTTGCTAGTCAGATGGTCCACAATTCCCAGTTTATATAGCACCAGAAAAATCCACACTACCAGACAAACCTGAAACACAGTCACAGTGGTGTTTCATTATTATATCAACATGAACCTGCATTGCTTTAGAACTCTCTCTCCATATACACAATGTAATATCTTTTATACACTCTACATAGGATGTAATGATACCAGTCTGTGCTAATTCTAAAAATATTAAAAAAAATACATCTGCCCATCAAATTAAATTTTGCAGTATTTTCTTAATGAGACACTTCTGTTTTGCCTCAAAAGTCTTCTCTATAAGATGTAACTTTAAGATACCTCTATAAATCTGTGATTTTCACATAACATCTCTGCAGGTGATACCTCACATAAGAGAGTGAGAACAGACAAAAAATTGACTTGTGGCAATAATAATCTACGGAAAATTTGGTGAAATAGTTAAAATCGCAAAATTGAGTAAAATACAAAATATGGCTTAGATTTGGATATCTTTAGAGTACAAAACTAACCTGGTAATTTTCAAATGCATAAAGTGGGTAGCTTTAAAAGTGATACACAGACAAGTATCTATGATGGTAACCTTACATGTTACATACACACGTATTAATGATGGTAAAACAAGTGAAACACAAGTATCAATGATGGTAACTTTACAAGTGACACACGTGTATATGTACATGATGGTGTTCATATCTGCACAAGTCAACTAAGCATTACTAATCATAATATGAGAATTGTGCTTACCATCAGCCCTCTCTGCACCATCCGAGTGCGTGCCCAAAAATAAATGAATCTGAGTCGCTTGGGAAGTTTGACTAAAATGGGAGCAGTTGGTGGTGCAATGACACTTCGATACTGACTTGTATTGTATGGAACAACAGGGGTCCTCAGTCTGTCCAGAGAAAAACATGATTAACTAATTAGAATTGCTTGTTTTTTATAAATTACACCATGTAAAGGTACACGAAGTAACACTAGAGCAAAAACCTAAATGTCATCATTTGGAGGAAACTTGATTATTTTATCAGACAAGTAATTTAGTAAATAAAGTACTGACAGCATCATTTGTAACTCTTAGCTAGCATATTCTCAAGGGGTGGAGAGTATGAGAAATTTGGCAAGTCAAACCTAGTTAGGATTTTTATATGCTTTGTTAACTCTTTAATCATTTGTGCATTACTGTATTAGTGTTTATTTTTGTTGTACTTCAAAATTAAGATAGCAAAAGTTAAAAGTTTTGTTTCAGTAACAAGTCAAAAAACAACAACAGTAAACATAACTTGTGGTATCAACATAACTTCTTTACACAAACCTGTTTTATACAACCAAATTCCTTTAACTACAGAGTATTTATCTAGATTGAAAAAAAGAACTAACAAAACATGCCCTAGCTGTGTTTTTTAAAGTATTAAAATTTTTTGGCATTTTTCAAACACAATATCCCCTTCTACACCAAATCAAAACTACTGGACTTGTTTACCTTGATCTGCACAATCCTGACATTTTCATGACTTCTTCCCTGCTTGGAGCTTGTTCATTAGTGATTGGTTCATCTCCTTGTCCAATATTAATTGCTCGATGCATGTTATCTTTATGAAGTTCTGCCAACTTCAATAAGAAAAAAACTCTTTATACATATATCTCGCTGTGGTTTGTTGTTTTACAGATAATCTACAATAATTCAGTTGAAGTGTTATTTTTTCAGAAACTACATAATCCTTCCAAGTTTCAAATTTTTCTGATATACACTTTGCTTAAATAAACTGATTGAAAAATACAATAACAGCTACTTTTAGAGTAGACAAGTTCTAATTTCAATTATTACAATATTTCAACCCACAGTATCAACCTAGAATACCTGAAGATGACTCAATACTATGGGTCAAAACATTATAATCATTAAAATCAAAGCTTGCCTATTATAAAAGTTGCTATTATTGTATTTTTTAATTAAATATTCAGTTCGGTAGGTACATCAATAAACATTAAACTGATTGAAAGTATTTATAAAAAAAAATGATGACTCAATATTCTA